CACTCCAGTCTGGGCGACAGAGTGAGACTCCAACTCAAAAAAAAAAAAGGAAAGTAAAAAGAGGACATCCACAGGCTCCATCTTTCCCCACTATGATTTCCTTTCACCATCAACTTGCCAGAGCTCTTTGCTTTGGCAAAGAGTTCTACTAGGGCCAAGCAAAAATACAAAATGCACTGTGGACCACAGAAGTGACTTCGGTCCATAGTGAGGTCCCTGGTTGCTGTATTCCCAGTGCTTCCTCCAATGTGCCTGATTTGGGCTCTGCCTCTCAGACATTAAACCCGATTCTTCGCCATCAGGTAGTAAGAACTGCTCATTTAGTTCTGTGACCTGAACAACAGGGCCTTCAACTACAGGCTGAGCATCACTACCTGAAAATCCAAAATTCTCCAAAATCCAAAATGGCTTGAGCACCAACACGCCACCCCAAGCGGAAAATCCCACGCTGACTCCACATGACAGGCAGCGGTCACAATGTAGTTAATGCTGTTTCATGCTTAAAATTTTAAAAAATACAGTATAGCCAGGCTCGGTGGCTCAGCCTGTAATCGCGCCTCAGAAGGCTGAGGTGAGTGAACTGCCTGAGCCCGCGGGTTCGAGACCTGCCTGGGCAACTTGGTGAGACCTCATCTCTACAATCATTCAAAAAATTAGCCAGGCGTGGTAGCGCGCGCCTGTAGTTCCACCTACTTGGAAGGCTGAGGTGGAAGGATTGCTGAAGCCCAGCAGGTTGAGGCTGCGGTGGCCAGGAGCGGCCACTGCACTCTAATCTGGGCGACAGAGTGAGACTCCAATTCAAAACAAAAAACAAAAAACAGTACGAAATTACTTTCAGGGTATGTGTATAGGGTATATATGAAATATAAAAGAATTTCATGTTTCAGATTTGGGTCCCATCCCCAAGATACCTCATTACATATATGAAAATATTCCCAAAGTCAGAAAACTAAAACACTTCTGGCCTCAAACATTTCAGATAAGGATCATCAACCTCACCAAGAGAACATTCAGAAGGACCTAAATGCCCAGCTTTGGCTGGCTTTCAGAAGAGTAGCTGAATGTTACTGAGCTGAACTACTGAGGGGGAAAGTCAAGTAAGATATGGCCTCACCCTCAACAAGCTCTAAGTATTAAACTAAGGTATAAAGAGCAAGGCCACAGGGGCAGAGGGCCTAAGGAGAGACGAGCTGCTATTGACAGATCAGTTGCGCCTTGACAAGCCAGGTCTTGAACGCAGACAGATGAGAAGGGTGGACGGAGCACACAAGCAAAGGCACAGAGGGTCAGAGAGGGAACCACATGCCTGGGGCCTGACAGAAGCACAGGGTGTAGGGGATGGAAAAGGGAGATCTGACATGGAGAGAGCCATTCAAGTCACGCAAAGTATGGCTTTTACTGTGTAGCAATTTTTGAAAGAAATTTCTGTAAAAGCGAGCATTCCATTTTCGACAGGTGGTATTTATTTATTTATTTATTGAGTTGGAGTCTCACTCCATCGCACAGACTGGAGTGCAGTGGCCGCTCCCAGTCACCGCAGCCTCGACCCGCTGGGCTCCAGCGATCCTTCCGCCTCAGCCTTCCGAGTAGCCGGAATTACAGGCATGTGCTACCATGCCCGGCTGTTTTTTGATTTATTGTAGAGATGAGGTCTCGCCAAGTTGCCCAGGCGGGTCTCGAACCCGTGGGCTCAGGCAATCCACTCACCTCAGCCTCCCAAAGCGCGGGATTACAGGCTGAGCCACCAAGCCCAGTTGGCAGGTGGTATTTAAAAAGGAAGTTACAAGGGGGACCCAAAAAATCCTGGAATTTACTTATAAAGCATTATTTATTTATTCATACATGTTTAAACTTCAGTCACCTTCAAAGTACTCTGTGTGATGCAATACACCTATCGAGCCGCTTTTTCCACTGCTCAAGACAGTTTGTGAACTCATCAATTTTTAAGAATTTTAGTGCTTCTGCTGTTTTTTGTTTCACTTCTTTCACACTGGCAAAACATTTCCCTTGGAGGACCTTTTTCATTTGGGGAAACAACAACAGTAAAAAAGGCACTGAAGTGAGAGTGGGTGAATAGGGAGGGTGGGGCACTGGGGTTGTATTGTTTTTAGTCAAAAACTGCTGTACACTTAGCTAGGTATGTATGGGTGGGCTGTTCGTGTAAATCACCATCATGAAATGGGCAAACACATTGAATCTCCAAAAAAGATTACCTGAAGTCAAACACAGGCTCTCACAACATTTGCTGGTCCACTGATGCCGATGGATTCCTAGAACACTTACCTCACCTAGAGGGAAGCCTGTCTTAGGGGCCCGCCTTCCAAAAGATAATTCCAGTTTTTTTGGGTCCCCCCTCTTCATGTTTTTTGCAAGTCAGAGCAATGAGACTCAAGCAGTCATTGATATCCCTTTTTTAAAAAAGAAACAGGTTCTCACTCTGTCACCCAAGCTGGGATGCCGTGGTGCAATCACAGCTCCCTGCAGCCTCTGATCTCCTGGGCTCCAGGGTTCCTCTCACCTCCGCCTCCTACATCGCGGGGACTACAGGCACATGACACACCTGAGTATTTTTGTTGTTGTTGTTGGGAGTCTCACTGTGTTGCCCAGGCTGGAGTGCAGTGGCATGCTCACGGCCACCCCAGTGTCGACCTGCTGGGCTCAGGCAATCCTTCTGCCTCAACCTTCCAAGTAGCCAGAAGGACAGGTGGATGCTACCACGCCCAGGTCTCTTTTTGATTTATTGTAGAGATGAGGTCTTGCCAAGTTGCCCAGGCTGTTCTCGAACCTGTGGGCTCAGGCAATCCTCTCACCTTGGTCTCCCGAAGTGCTGGGATTACACAGGCTTGACCCACCGCACCTAGCCTAGTTAATTTTTTTGACCACATCTGGCTAACTAATTTTTTGTAGAGACAGGGTCTCGCTACATTGCCCAGGCTGATCTCGAACTTCTGGGCTCAAGTGATCCTCCCACCTCAGCCTCTCAAGCAGCTGGGATTACAGGCACATTCTACTCTGATTAGCTTCCTATACACTTTTTAAGAAGTTTAAGGGTCTGGATAAACAAGGTTTGCTTACAAATCTATACAGAAAAATGGATAAACAGGTAAATACTCCTTCCATCCTGTTGGAATTTCTGACACCAAGGTAACAAAACACAGTGGAAAGACCTTGAAAGAAAATGCAAAGCTTCCTAGAAGGCTCCTGATTCACAGCGTGATTCAGAAATCCAAATGACATACAAGTAAACGAGGGATATTAGCAATGTAGTTCTGAAGAAAGCTCTTTACCTCAGACATACCTACAAAAACTTCATACCTTTGCTGGATCTCTTTGATGCTTTCTTGTTTCCCTCGGAGGTAATTTCAATTTCATCAGGATTACCACCTTCATCTTCAATTGCCTGAAGAAAAGGGAAAAACAAAGTTGACCAAAAAAATTCAACATACACACTGACTTCTGGAGAACCCTCAGGCGAGAAGGGAACTTTGAGAGCATACAGCTGCACTGACCTGGGAATGCCCTCAGAAAGGGAAAGTCATGCTACTCTCCAATTTCCTCTGACAGCAAAGTGGTATCTAAGCCCCAAGTGACCCCTCCACGCCCCGCCTGTACTCAGCATGGTCTGGATGGATCTTTACGCTCACTGCCTGGTTCCCAGCGTGTTACCATGGGACCAAATGTGGCATTGCCTCATCCAGTCTTGGTCATGCACATCCATGACTGACTCCAAGGATTTCTTTTCTTTTTTCTTTTTTTGAGTGGAATCTCACTCTGTTGCCCAGGCTGGAGTGCAGTGGCACGATCATGGACACCACAGCCTCACCTGCTGGGCTCAAGCGATCCTTCCACCTCAGCTCCCCAAGCAGCTGGAACCACAGGCGTGCACCACCAAGCCCAACTAATTTTTTTATTTCCTGTAGAGACACTGTCTTACCAAGTTGCCCAATCTGGTCTCAAACCCCTGGACTCAGGCAATCCTCTCACCTCTGCCTCCCCAAAGTGTTGGGATTACAGGTGTGAGCCACCATGTCTGGCCAAAGACTTCATTCTTAACCCCCAGGTGATTGTGCCTCCCTAGGGATTATTTAACTCTAAGGCTTTTTGGCAAGTCCTGCCTCCCACCCCAAGGATGTACCATTCCCTTGAACAGTCCTCATACTCAGCAGTGCTCGGCACCACGTGGGCATCTGCAAATCAGCACGGAACATGCCAGTCATGATGTCATTATCAGAAATGGGCTTTTCCTGATAGCTTTTCTTTTCTTTTTTTTTTTTTGAGTCGGAGTCTCACTCGGTCGCCCAGACTGGAGTGCAGTGGCCGCTCCCGGCCACTGCAACCTCGACCTGCTGGGCTCCAGCGATCCTTCCGCCTCAGCCTTCCAAGTAGCCGGAACTACAGGCGCGCGCTACCATGCCCGGCTAATTTTTTGATTATTGTAGAGATGAGGTCTCACCAAGTTGCCCAGGCGGGTCCCGAACCCGCGGGCTCAGGCAATTCACTCACCTCAGCCTCCCAAAGCACGGGATTACAGGCTGAGCCACCGAGCCCAGCTCTTGACAGCTTTTCTGATCGTTAATGTACTAACCTGTGAGCAGAAATTTTTTGTAAACCCATTTAAATACTATGTTTCATTTGTAGCTTCAGAAGTCTCAAGAGTTTCTGCGTGGTAAATCTGAATTTAGAATAGTGGTGGGGGTTCCAACCCTAAGTGTACCTGCAGCAAAGAAAATCTCTCTTCTCGGAAGCCAGAGGGGGGCACTGGAGTTTTGACCCGGGATCAAGGAAAGGTGTGACCGCAAAGTCCCTCACCCACTTCCTGGGGACAGGCCAATCTGAAACATCCCTGGAGAACAGAAGAAGTGCCCAGAGAGGTGTCTCATTTCTACCTTCTGCCCTTCCTGGAAAAATGAACCAGGAAAGGGATACCAACGGATGACAGAAGTGGGAAAGAGGGACTATCAGCAGTCCAGGCCTGCCTGGGGGTCAGCAGATGGGCGCATGGGCTGTTTTTTTGGTGTGTTTGGGGATGGCATTGCTAAGCGGAAAAGTGGAAGAAGGCAGCAGGACTGGACCTGTGCCCTTAGAGATGAACGCGGGTGACAAAAGATTCCTGAAGTCTCAGCCACCCGCCTGACAGGAAGGTCCCATCCACTGAAACAGATGTGGGGCCCTTGGGCAGTCTAGAGGAGACAGGGATGAAGCCTCCCAACTGGGCTTGGCTGCAGGAGGCCCTGCCAGCGAGGGACCACAGCTGCCCGTGCATCCCACTTCCCAGGGCAGGTCTTAAGTCGGCGAGCCTCCAGAGAAGAGTGTCCGCAGCCAGGAACCCAAGCTTGTTTTCTGCAAGGCCCCCGTGACGGAACGTCAACTCCTCACCAGCAACACACCAGGTGACCCTGACTTCTCCTCAACAGCAACTAGCCAGGGAGCCTGGGGATGACCTCCACTTCTGGGGAGCCAGGCGGGAAGGAACAGGCCAAGCGGCTGCTCAGGAGGCCCAAGAGAGGAAGGGCAGGGCAGGGCAGGCAGAAAACCCGACAGGAGCCAAAGGCGAAGCAGCCGGCCAACGCTTGCTTGACTGTGGCAGGACAAAGGACACACGGTGGTGGCCCAGAGGGACAGAGGTGGCCTGGAGGGATGTGGGCTCCTGACAGCAGCCCCGTGCTGTTTACACGCCCCAGGCAGCAGCACGCCAAGTCTGGTCCGGCAGCCTCACTGGGCCAAAACTAAAGCACCACCACCTTCTTTTGGCCAAAACAAAACACAACCCGGACTCAGGAGACGCCGAAGGTCTCCCCTGCCCGTCAGGGCCACTGAGACCAGGCTGCAGCCCAGGGAGGCCGCGCTCTGCCACCTCCCGGTGAAGCTTCGCCTTTTCGTTTGTTTTTGTTTTGTTTCTGAGTTGGCGCTCTCGCTGTCGCCCAGGCTGGAGCGCAGCGGCCCCATCCCGGCTCGGGCTCGGCCCCCTCCCCAGCTTCCCAAGCAGCTGGGACTCCGCCCGTGCCCGGCCAACGATCTCTCTGCAGCGACGGGGTCTCGCTCCGTCGCCCAGGCGGCCCTCCCACTCCTGCCCTCGAGCGACCCTCCCGCCGCGGCCTCCCAAAGGGCCGGAACTGCGGCCTGAGTCCCCGGGCCGGCGACGTCCAAGGCCGCCGGGGGCCCAACCCCGAGGGCCACCGCAAACGCCACTCTGCCTGCCCGCCGTGGTGCTTCCCCGGGGCGAGCGCCGGCAGGTCGTGAAAAGGTCTCCATTTTTTTCCTCCCCGAGTACTTTCAGGGGTCCGCTCTGTCGGTCGCTCGCTCAGCTTTCGAAAGCTCGCCGGCCCCCCACGGGCCCGGGGACGTCTTCCCGGCCGACCCCAGGCAGCGCGCGGCCCAGGTTCGAGTCCCGAGGCCGCCCGTCCGCGGCCGTGTGACCTTGGCCGAGTCCCGGCCGCTCGCCCTGCGGGGGGCGGGATGTTCCGGGGCTCCCCGAGCGGTGACGGAGACCGGGACGACACGCCGAGAGGCGAACCCTCCGCGCCGTGGCCGACGTCGCCCGTCGCCGGCGGCTGCGGCCCGCGACGGCTCCGCCCGCCCGCGGCGCGCGCGGCTTTTCCCCTCCCGGCCC